TCCCAGAATTCCTCAGCCAGCTTTGCTGGCTGAGGAATTCTGGGAGTTGAAGTCCACAAGTCTTAAAGTTGCCAAGGTTGGACACCCCTGCTTTACATAAAATAAAATGTGAATGAAGCATCTTACCTCTTTCGTTAAAGCTGCTGCAACGCTTGCAAAGCTTGGAAGGCTGCTTCAAAACTGTCCATGCAGCCACTATGATTTGTTTTCCTTCCAGTGAAGAATTTTAACTACTTTTCCCATTGTCTGACCATCGGCTATGAAATAACTCTTACAGTGGGTATCATCTTGGATACATCACAAGACACAAATGCAGCAAATGTTACTTTATTGTAAAGCAATCAGCCATGCTGATTGAAAATTCTTGAATTATGGTCTCAATAGACTCAAGATTGGGGAAGGTAGCTTCACTTTATAAGGAGAGCCTATATCAAATATATAAAACACTACTATGAATTAGTCTTCCCTCACCTGCTGAGGAGATCATCCCACTTGAGTTTTGAAATTTCATCTTGCTCTGCTTTGTCCAACAGACAGTCGCACAAAATTGGATTTACCTTTACAAAACTGTGATAAAAAAGAAACACGTTTTCATGATTAACACCAGTGTCAATAATGTGCAACACTTAATTTTGGTTTAAATTTACAGGAACTACAAATAAGAAGGGTCTTGCCATCTACTTTTTTCAGTTTAAAAAGGTGAATTAAAGAAAGATAAAGACTTCTTCCAGCCAAGGTAAACAATTATCAACTAGATAATTATAAACTAGATAATTACAAGTTACTAATCTGTGGAATACTTGCTGGGGAAAGTGTATGTAATGATTAAAATAACAAACTTACTGTTTTACAGATCTATTAATGAATCAAGTTTATTGTTGATGGCCCTATCTAAACCCAAGGAAGAACTTTCTGATTCAATTAGCTGCTAAATTAAGAGTACTTCACAAGGCCCGTGCCAGGCATGAAAGACCAGGACCACATATGAAGCTCCAACTAAACTCATTTATTACTACTTATGCCTATGCAAAGGAATGTACTCAAAAAAACAATTTGTACTATTTTGGCGCTGGATAATGGTCTATGGAATTCAAGAGCAGTTGGACTTAGTCAGTTTGTGGCAACGTAGAGACTTTAGGCTGATTCCTCTTTTGACTCCACCCTGAGATTCTGCCACTCCTTCTCCTATAGCCCGTACTCATATGTACTCATATCCTATAGCCCACACACATATACACATCTGTTTGTGCATGGGGCAATAGTAAGTTCCTCTGATTACAAATCATATAATAATAAGCCTTCCAGAAAATGCCTGTCTCTTTTTTATATTGCTAGATATAGGAAAAGACCAGGATGGGACGAATCACTTTGGGGACTGAATATTCAGATTTGAAAATAGAAACCTATGAGCCCGGAATGCTACATCATAAAATCCCAGTGTAGTCATTTCATGCCAATGGTATAGACCCAATAAGCAAACATTCTGATCTCTTTGCTCAGTGGTTTCATTTCTTACACACTTTTTGTTTATTTCATCAACCAATTCATTAGCCTTCACATAGCTGACTATCACACTTCTCACTTCACTGCTGGAGAGGGTATGGCCTTTCCTGGAAAAAAATGAGAATGTTTTTAGTTGTGAAGTTGAATTATGGAAACAACTGCAAATATCCTGCTCTTGCAAACTGAAGATTTTCTAAAGGTTTTCCAATATAGTTGACACTCTCTGAATTAAAAGGCAAAATATGAAAAAAGTGGTACAATCAAAGCACACACATTAGCTTGGCATTCCAAAAGCATTAACATTTTAGGTATTTTTCCTGGTAAGCCATTCTTTTCAAACTTATGCAAATACTACTGATAAGGTCTAGCTATGCCATTCTATTTTTGCCTAAAACATCTAACTCTGGAATCTGAGTGACTCAAACACATACACAATGACACAACTCTTTCCTTTAAGAAGATGTTGCCATCTCCAAACACTCCCAGCCCACTATGTAAAATAGTAAGATGGTGTTTAATATTATAGAGTACAAAGAGGCTGATGTCAAGCCCAAAATTGACACATGTGTAGCCATTTTAGTTAGGCTTAGTATATATTCTTTTTCTTACTTTCTCTTTGGTGGTCATGGAGGAAGGGTTTTGGGCTTGAGAGGCTGCCCTCCCTCATTTGAAAAGAAACCCCTGCAACGACATAAAATACACAAATTTCTTATATTCCTTACTTATATCCAGACTCTTGAAACAATGGGGCCATCTTTGATGAGATCCCATAAAGGGGTATAATTTCAGGAGGATGGTATAGTTGTTCTTGGTCATCACCTTTACAATCTTGGACAGACATTTCAGATGTTGCAGTTTCAGGTACAATGAAGGATCTAATGCTGAAATGCAGAGAAAAACATTATTTTCATACATTTAACCAGTTCTAATCATTGCAATGATTAGAACTGACATACAAAAACTAACCAATGCAATATCTCATCTTTCTGACTTAAGAGAAAACAGACATTGCAAACTACTCTTCACATTATTGCTATATAAAAGCTCATGGCAGAAGTAAAAATGGGAGCCTTTTTTGTTCTTAAAACAATATATCAAAAAGATTCCAAGATGCATTCTTTTATTGACCTCTTCTGCCTGTGATGGTTTTGGTCAATCATGGATTTCAGATAATGTTTTTCAATAAGATAAAAAGATAAACTAGCTACCAGCCACACCCAAGCCACACACTGCATTTGCTACAAATAGGTTTTACCTGTGTGCAACAAGCACAAAATCAGTATATTTTACTCCAAATATTATAGGCAAGCTAAGATCTCTCAGGGTGTGTGCTGTTTAGGTGTGTTAGGAAATTGTTTCAGTTTTCTTTTCCATGGGGCCAAATCACAAATGTGTCATTGATGTATGTTAACCATAGTTTGGGTTTGTGGGTGGCATTGGCTAGGGCTCTGGATTCGAATTCTTCCATGAACAGGTTTGCAATGAAGGGTGACAGTGGTGATCCCATAGGGGCTTCTTCAATTTGTTTGTATCTTTGTCCTTTGTATATGAAATATGTGTTAGTTAAGCAGTGTTCTGTTAGTTCCATGAGGTGTTTGGGTTGGTATTTATTTTTGATGATTTCAAGAGTTTCTTTTATCGGGACTTGAGTGAATAGTGAAACCAGGTCAAAACTTACAAGCACATCTTCTTGTTCCACGTGTAGATCTTTGATCATTTCCAAGAGGTGGTATGAGTTTTGTACATGTGAAGCTGCTGCTTCAGCATGGGGCTGTAGCTGCTTTGCTAGGTATTTGGCTAGGTTTTGTAGTGGTGCTCCTCTGGAGCTGACTATGGGTCTGAGAGGTATGCCTTCTTTGTGTATTTTTGGGAGGCCGTATAGTTTGGGGCATCAAACAAAAAAATATCCACACCACAAGCCAGGCAAACACCTGGGCACAAACAGACTCCCCCTGATACCTCCAGCTCAAACACACCCCAACCAGGCACCCAGATGAAACCTAGCTTCCTAACAAATGATAGCTGTCCATTTACTCGGAGCCAAGCCGCACTAAAAGCCTCCAATACAGGAACACAATGTTGCCAGCCAATCAAGACACAAAAAAAGCCACAAAACAGACAGAAGATATTAGAAACACCAATCAAGCAGAACACAGCAAACCCCAAGACCAATAAACACAGACCAAGACTCCCAACCAATCAGGATGAAGAAAAAACCATTCTGGCACAGCAGTAGGCTAGCCCCAAATTTAAAACTGAAACGACTGTAAAAGTCTGACTCACAGACGAACACAATACAGAAGCCTGATG